GTGTGTGTGTGTGTGTGTGTGTGTGTGTGTGTGTGTGTGTGTGTGTGTATTTTATGATGCAGTACCCCAGAAGGCCAAGAGAGGGAGTCGGATCATGGCGAGCTGCCTGACTGGGGTGCTGAGAACCAGATGTTGGCCCGCATTGAGCAGCGGTGCTTTGGGGTCCAGGGTGGCTTTATTGTCCCCCTGTTACTGCCATCTTCATAGTAAGGGTGGGAAATGCTCAGTGTAGTATCTGGTGCATGATCTCGATGACATCAACAGGCTTTAGGCACCTACTGTGTGCTGGCCATTTTATATCTGCATTTGCCCCTTAAGATCCCTAAAGGAACTGCGCAGTGGTGGCGCACGCCTTTAATCCCAGCACTCGGGAGGCAGAGGCAGGCGGATCTCTGTGAGTTCGAGGACAGACTCCAAAGCTATACAGAGAAGCCCTGTCTTGGAAAAAAAAAAAAAAGATCCCTAAAGGCAGACAATAACATTTGGTTATTATTGTCAATTAGCACGTATTAAGTACCTGCTGTGGGCCTGGCCCTGGGCTAAGAGTCAGCTTGAACCATCTCGCAATCCTTGCCTCAGTCCCAAAGTGAGTTCTGTAACCTGCTTGGTAGAAATGTTGAAGGTGAGGTTCATGGGGACAGGTGGCCAACTAGGCCACCCAGCCAGCAGAGGCAGAGTTGGAGTTTGGATTCTATGTGAGCATGTAATCAAGTCTTTGGTCAGGTTAGCCCTGCCACTCCAGCCTGAGGCCACATCAGAGCCTCAGACACATCGGAGATGTACGTTTTTAGGACCTTTGAGGAATGAACACCACCTCCAGGGCTACCTCTCACCCTGGCACCAGGCTTCTGACTCTGTTACCTGCCTTGAGGATTGATTTTTTTTTTTTTTTTTTTGGAACTGTAGCCAACCCCTCCATTGTCCCCCAGAGGCTGGAGTCAGCCTGGGTTGGAGCCCAGCCCTAGTAATTGATTGACCTTTGATTGATGTAAGCTGTGGTTTGGGGCCTGGCCTGGCCCAGCCTGAAGCTGCCAGAAACCAGGGAATCCACAGCCCGACTTGACATCCAAGTGTAGATACGGTGTGAGCTTCCTTTAGACTGAGTTGTTCTGGCTTTGAAAGAAGCCTAGACCCTTGAATGTAGGTCCCACTGGGGACCCAGAAAAACAAGGGACATGGGGTCTGAATCCCAAGCTGTCCCCTCCTCAATGATCTCCCTCCCTAGTCCTGACCTGCTGTGATAGCTGAGCATATAAAAACCAAGTGCCTGGCACGTAGTGGTTACTTGGCAAGATAACAAAATCTCACGGTGATAGCCACCATGCAGAGCTAGCTGTTCCTGGTAAGCACTCTTTGCCATGGGCTTGGCATCTAGGAGCCCAGGCCGGTCTCCCAGTAACCAAGAGGCACCATGACATCTGGGTTTCTCAACTTTGATCCAGTGAGGTTTAGGACCCCTGATGGTTAATTTTGATTGTCAACTTGACACAGTTTAGAGTCCCCTGAAAGGGAACCTCAGTGAGGGATTGTCTCGATCAGGTTGGCCTGTGGGCATGTCTGTAGGGGTTGTATTATGCTAATTGATCTGGGAAGACCAAGTATTCGAGCCGCCAGCACCCATTTTGGGTTTTAATCATGTAACATTATTATTCTAGTTTCCTTCCTGTATTATGATAAAGCACTTGAACCAAAAACAATTTGGGGAGAAAAGGATTTATTTGTCTTACACTTCGATATCGTAGACCATCATTGGGAGGAGTCAGGACAGGAACTCAAGCAGGAACTTGAAGCAGAAACCGTAGAAGAATGCTGCTTCCTCTGGCTCGTGCTCAGATAGCTTCCCTATACAGCCCAGGACCACCAGCCCAGGGAATGGTGCCGCCCACAGTGGGCTGGGCCCTCCTGGTCAGTTAACCGTCAAGGTAACCCTCTGCAGATAGACTTGCAGCCCCATCTGATCTGGGCAGATCCTTCATGGTGATTCCCTTCTCAGATGACTCTAGGCTGTGTCAAGTTGACAATTGGAGCTAACTAGGACAAGTAGGGAAAGCGAGAACAGCGAGCATGTGTTCATTATCTCTGCCATGCTGGGTATGATGTGATCAATTGCTTCAAGCCCCTGCCTTGACTTCCCCAGCCGTCATGGCCGTCACCTGGAATTGGGAGTTAATAGAACCCTTTCTTCCAAGCTGCTTTTTGTCAGGGTATTTTAGCACAGCCTCAGGAAAGAGACTGAGAGAGGATTGGCCCATTCTCTTTGTAGGGGACTGTCCTGGATGTTGTAGGCGTCTTCCTTGGTGTTTGTTCAACTTAACCCATGACTCCCAGTTAAGACAACCAAAAATGGGTCCAGATGTTACCAGGTGTCCTTTAAAGGACACACATTCTGCGTTGTGCTGAGGGGGAGCCCAGGCAGTCTGATTTCAGAACTATGACGTGCCATCTCTGACTTCACTAGAATCCGAGTTCAGAAAGTTGGAGGACTTTGTGGTGCTCAGCGGCACAAAGGAGACGCATCCTTGTGTCTCGCCTTGGGAAAGGCAAGCCCCTCATCAGGCTGACAACTCCTGTTGTCAAAGGCATGCAGCAGGTACCCAGCCCTCCACCACCTGCAGATATACCACAGTGACGGAGGGGTGGCCAGTCATCTCGAGGGCCCTTCCTGCTGCAGATGGAGGCTGAGCCATGACACACAGCCCTTGCCTGCCTCAGTGACATCCCACCACGTCCTCTCATACTTACCCCCACCCCAGCAGGCCCTCTGTCCTCAGGGCCCACTAGCCTGCCTGTCCCCACCCAGCCCTCTCACTCTGTAGGGAACCCATGGTCCCAAAGCCAATGTTTGCTGTGCTTCCAAGCCTGACTCATCCAGGCATGAACTATTTATACCCCTCACACGGATGCTTGTCTTGGTGTTCCCGGCAGACACTGTTCTGCAGGTGGCCACAGGACGCAGGAGGAGGCTGGGCACAGACAGACAGATTGATAAGTGCATCAGCCTACCAGCCCTGGGGTATTAGCCCAGCTCCTTCCTTACTGCTGTGTGACCTTGGGCAGGCCAATTAGCCTCTCTGAGCCTCTGCTTATGAAGAGTGTTAAATCAAAGCAAGCAGTAAAGCTCCCATCCAAAAACAGTTTTTAGTTCCTGGGGGCTGTTAGATGTCTAAAGTCAGGTGTGGCTGTATGTAACTGGAGGGGGCAAAGGGGGACCCACAGATAAACAGGGAAGGCACCCAGTGTCTGTAATTGAGCACCTTTGTGTCAAACTGTCGTCACCTGTCCATCCGGAGGCCCCGGGTACCAGAAAAGCCCCGCATGTCACCCTGAGGCCACTCTACCCAGGCTTCTGTCCCAAGAGACAGTCACCCTGACAAGAAGGCCTGATGGACCTCCAAGCAAAGCCATTGCTTCAGGTGTGGGCAGCACCTTACCAGCTGGGAAACGGGCTGGAGGCCACCTCTGGCCACTCACAACACAAGGAGTGTGACCACAGCAAAGGGGCATTTAGATCCGTTCTCACCCATGCCTGTCTCCACCAGGCGGCTGGTGGCAGAGGAAAGAAGGAAGGACAGAGACAGGCCTCCTTATCAACTGGCTCTGTGCCAGGCTGCCCAGCACTCCCCGCCACTCCCTGCAGCCTCCCAGAAGAGCCTGTTCCTGAACACACCCCGGTCCACCGCCCCATGTGACCATGACCCTCCCTCCCTCCCTCCTGGACACAGTCGTCCACAAGGCTGCTGAGATTCTTGGCTCCAAATTCCTTCCTGAGTCACGTTTTCAACAGTCTAAGCACCTATTGGGTGCTTTTTACTCTTGTGGGAGCCCACAAAGGTTTCCTGCTGAGACCTGAGCTTGCTTTCCACAGCAGGGCTGCATTGGGGGATGGCTGGACCACTTTCGAGGTCACCAGGTGTCTGGGATGGTCTGCACTTGGCTGTGCTGGGGGAGGTCTTTTGCTCCACCCCTTGGCATTCCTTTAAAAGCCCTTTAGTAGAGACAGAAGGGGCTGGTGGGTAAGGATCCAGGCCCTCCCAAGGCTATCCTGTGTTTTCTAACCGTCTCTATATACTTCTATCTACAAATTCCTCATTTCCCCCTGCTCCAGTACCCTGGGGGAATAAGAGGGAGCTGGTCTCCCTCCTACTCTCTCCTGGAACCTAGCATGAGTTGGAGCAGGAAGTCAGATCCCCGTGTGGAGGGTGCCGTGTTAGAAAGGAACCACTGATCCCATGTGAAGGGGTGTGGCTTAGTGGTGGAGTGGAATGCACCACAAAAAAATAAATAATGGAGCATGACCATGCACGTCTGTAGTCCCGACATGTGGGAGGCGGAGGGAGGAAGATCACTACAAGTGCAAGGATTAGCCTGGGCTACGTGGTGACTTCCAGGACAACCGGGGCTGCATATTGAGAACTGTCTAAAACAAATAAGAGACTACCTTCCACACCGATGCTATCCTCCGGCTGCTGGGAATGATTTTGCCTCCCCACCCCTGACACACACACACACACACACACACACACACACACACACTTGCACAGGAGACAGTTGGCAGTGTTTGGGAGACATTTGACTGTCACAGCCCAGGAGGGCTACTTCTGTGAACATCCCACAGCCCCCACTGTGAAGAGTGTCTCAGCCCCGGCTCACAAGGGCCTACCACCTAACTGGAGCCACAGATCCGGCCAGGGTGAGACCGAGACACCCCCTCAAGTGCCAGCAGAGGTGCCTAGACCAAATAGCTGAATCCACAGGCATGGTATGAGTTCTTGTTCACACCACACTCAGTACAGGAGGCTGTGGCTTCCTCCCTCAAGCCGTGGGTTTGTGTGAGAATTAGCATTGCTAAGAATACAGGATGCTGCCCGAGCATGTGGTGGGGTCCCTTCCAGCTATGATAGGAAGACATTGACCACTTCCTGTGTCCCAGGCTTGAGGCTTCGCTGCACAGTCAGACATGGAGCACATCAGGGTGTCCTTAAGCCTCCCTGCATCCACAGGTATGATGCCGGCAGAGATGGCTTCATCGACCTGATGGAACTGAAACTCATGATGGAGAAACTGGGGGCCCCCCAGACTCACCTGGGCCTGAAGAGCATGATCAATGAAGTTGATGAGGATTTTGACAGCAAACTCAGCTTCCGGGAGGTAAGTCTATCCCCAGGCTGCTTCCCAGCCCCGCCACACCTGAGCACTGGGTGGCTTTTGTTATTTGTGAGGCTGGCAAGGTACTCTTGGCAGGTGTCCTCCTGGCTCAGCCTCCCAAGTTCTGGGATTCTAGGTGTAAGCCACCACAGCCAACTATTTTTAATGATTTCTGTATGCCCGGCTGAGTTGTGGGAAAGGCTGTGGGCTCTGAGGGTCCGGGAGGCACCTAAAAGAGGATTTATACAGTGCTTGGTTGAGAAGGAGTGATGTGTACTGCCGAGGGGACCAGGCGTGGTGTGAGGTAGCTTCACGTACTCTATGAGGCAGAAGCTGTGGCCCAGCCTGTTTAGGGACTGGCAGGAGGGATGGAGGCTCAGAGCGGCTCTAGGCCTTCAACAGCATGGGGTTGCCTGTGTGGGGAGGTAGGTGTTGGGAGAGTCCCTGGCCCTAACAGAGACAGGGGTGGGGGGGGGGGTGTGGACGGGACGGGGGGGGGCTGTCAAGAGCTTCTTGGAATATGGGAGGTGACAAGGGGCCAGGGAAGAATTCAAAGTGGTCCGCGGGAATGGCTTGGGGTCAGAGAGTATCCATTCCCATCCTTCCAGAACCTGTGTCTCCGAACCATCTTCATACTGGAGAATGGGAGCGAGGTCCCTCCGGGGCTTTGTGAATGCAATGCAGTGCAGATTTGTGGCCGGGAACAGTGGGTGGCAAAGAGGAGAGGCAGGCTGAAGCCAGCCGTGGGTGGGAGCTGGGTGTGGTCCTTAGCCCAAGGTCCTGGCAGGGCCCACCAGGAAGATAGGGCCTGCCCAGCTCTAACTCCAGGTCCTGCAGGTGAGCACACAGCCTTTCTACAGAGATCTGAGCCGAGGCGTGGGTGTGTCCGGGGACTTTGTCCCAGGTGTGCCTCGCTGACCCCTGCGTCTTCCCTCCGCAGTTCCTTCTGATCTTCCGCAAGGCGGCGGCAGGGGAGTTGCAGGAAGACAGCGGCTTGCACGTCCTGGCCCGCCTCTCTGAGATCGACGTCTCCACAGAGGGCGTGAAGGGTGCCAAGAACTTCTTCGAGGCCAAGGTGAGGAGCCAAGGACTGTGGTCCAGCTGTATGGTGACACCGTTTAGACTGAGGACTGCACAGTCCCTCCCTGGCCCTGTTGAGGCTGCAGAGGAGATGTGGAGCTGACCCTGTGGGGTGTGCAGGGCTACGGGGGTCTTAAAGAGGGAGACAGCCAGCACTGCTCCCTAGAGACCCTGCCCTGTCAGCCCGACCCCGGAGGAAGCTGAGGGGTCCTCAGACCTCAGACATCTGTGTGTGCAGCCTCCTCCCTTTCAGCACATACGTAGATGGAGGGAGACACATTTGGTCCAACGGCTCCTGAGTCCTGCCCACCCAGGCCCTCACCTTTCCTTATTCCTCTTTTCCAAACTAAGACCTTTCCTTCCCCAGGCTGCCCCGCCTCCTCTCTCTCTCTCTTCCAACCTTAGATAGCGATGTCAGGGTTCATTAGCAGACCTGTGCGCCTTGCCTCAGGACAGGACATCAAGGGCATCATTCCTGCCTGCAGTGCCCTGTGCTGCTTCTACCAGTGAATATTCTCTGTGTGTCTCTGTCTCTCTGTCTCTCATACTCCTCTCTCTCTTTCTCTGTTTTGGAGAGATATGGTCTCATATAGCCCAGGCTGGCCTTAAACTTCGGGTCTTCCTGCCTTTGTCTCCCCCTGTGCTAGGATCACAGATGCTCAGTGCCATACCCCGTTTTGTTTGGTTTTTTTTTTTGGTTTTTTTTTTTGGTTTTTCGAGACAGGGTTTTTCTGTGTAGCTTTGCGCCTTTCCTGGGACTCACTTGGTAGCCCAGGCTGGCCTCGAACTCACAGAGATCCACCTGGCTCTGCCTCCCGAGTGCTGGGATTAAAGGCATGCGCCACCACCGCCCGGCCATACTCCGTTTTTTGAAGTACAGCTTAAACCCAGGACATCATACATGCTAGGCGAGCACTTTACCAGCTGGGCTCTATCCAGCGCATTATTTTAATCTTTCCCGACGAGCCCCTGTGGCCAGCTACTGTGTGCCGGGTTCTATATGGAGAGAGACAGAGGCACAGAGGGGTAACTGTGGCTCACAAGGGCCACTGTTGGTGAGCCTGGGCCAGAAGGTGAGCAACTCCCAGGAGTAATAACTATGGAGGCCGCATCTCTGACCTGTGTCCCGTTCCCCGCTCCCAGGTCCAGGCCATCAACGTGTCCAGCCGCTTTGAGGAGGAGATCAAAGCCGAGCAAGAGGAAAGGAAGAAGCAGGCTGAGGAGGTGAAGCAGCGGAAGGCGGCCTTTAAGGAGCTACAATCCACCTTCAAGTAGCCAGGGCTAAGGCCCAGACCCGGCCCTGCCCGGCGAGCAGTCTGGGGGCACGGGTGGGTACAGGAGACCCGTGGGAGACAAGCCTGAGTCCTGGTCTGTGGGGGCCAGGACCACTACTAAACTCTAAGCTGTTTGTGAGCGGATCTCATTCCGGAGTCTCCCCAGGGGTCGGGCCGTCCCTGCTCCCTCCCGCTCTCCCTTCCTCTCTGACCACACTGCTGCCTGCTCCAGCCCATTCACGCCCCTGCCTTGTGTACCAGCTGCTTTCCCCCCACCTACCCTTAACCTTAGGCCGCCCTGCCCTGGGCCTCATGGCCCCCTCCTAGATAGGGACCAGCAGAGAGAGAGGAGTCCCCTCCTTACAGATCAGCCCCTTCCCCGCTGGGTGTGGAGGGACTCCTGTTTTGGAGAAGAGATCCAGGCCTCGCACTCTAGGCTGATAGACAAGGGGCTAAAAGTGGAGGGACTTGTATTTTGGTGAAGAGACCCAGGCCCTAGCACTCTAGCTTGCTATAAATGGGGCCCAGCCAGGCAGGGTGAAGGCCACTGAATCTACCTCACCGGCTACACTCTGCTAGGCATGCCATGGGGACGTGAGTGATAGGGCTCCGCGGGGAGGGGCAGGTATGTCACTTTCTGACACCCGACTGCTAGAACAAGCTGAGGGTCCCAAGGGGCTGTGGAGAGGAGGGTGGGGTGCCAAGGGATTGGCCTTCCTAGGGAGGACCTCGGCGCTCGGCCTTGGTTCCCCAGGGAGTGCCTGATGTGTTTGTGTGTACTGGCAGGAGGGCATGGGGCTGGCACCCCTTCACACTGTCCTTCCCTGGGTTGTCACCCCTGAGGGCGCCTGCCTGTCCTGCCCACACCTGGAACGCATGGGGATTCCCCAAGCCCATCCATCACCAGGCAGGCCATAGCGAAGCCCGTGCCGTTCCTCCATCGCTCCCATGTGCTCGCTCACGTGTGTGCGTGTGTATCTGTTGCTGTGTTGTGAAACTGTGACGTCACCCAGTCCAAGTGAATGGCCATGGAGGCCACTGTTATGCAACGTTCAGTGTGTCACTGCTTTCGAAACTCGATATCTCTTTATTTTACTACAATGCCCCAAGAGTCCCCAGTTCCCCCCTGGGGAACTTGCAAAGGTTTTATTTTTTCGGTCTTAGAACCCGTGAGAATCGGAGGGACTGAGCCCAGCCCAGCCCAGCAGCTGTGGCCCTGGCTTGGGTTTGCTTGCCTTAGTGGATATGTTTATACAGATGAATATAAATTCCCTTTACTTTGGGCTTTCTGCATTTTATTTTTGGTCCCCCCTCTCACCACCTCCTCCCCCCTCAAAAAAAAAAAAAACCAGCTACTTCTTCATTCAGTGGTACGATTATTTTTTTTAACTAAAATGAGATAAAATTCTATATTCTTATGTGTGTGTGGTTTTTGATGGCTAATTAAGAGGGCGGGGAATGGGACCAGGAGCCTGGGGAGGAGAACACTCCTGACAGAGAGGTTGGTCCCTTAGCACCTTTACAACACTAATGGTCTAAGCACTTCGTATATTAAACTCGTTTCCTCCTTTAAGGACCTCACTGAATGGGGCGCTGTCTTTTAATCCCCTTTTAAAGATAAGAAGAGGATGGTTCAGCTGGTAAAGTCACTGGCTGCTCTTCCAGAGGTCCTGAGTTCAATTCCCAGCAACCACTTGGTGGCTCACAACCATCTATCATGAGATCTGGTGCCCTCTTCTGGCATAAAGGTGTACATGCAGATAGAGCACTCATATACATAAAATAAATATTTATTTATTTATTTATTTATTTATTTATTTATTTATTTATTTATTTATTTATTTATTTATTGGTTTTTTGAGACAGGGTTTCTCTGTGTAGCTTTGCGCCTTTCTTGGAACTCACTTGGTAGCCCAGGCTGGCCTCGGAACTCACAGAGATCCGCCTGGCTCTGCCCCCCAAGTGCTGGGATTAAAGGCGTGCGCCACCACCGCCCGGCAAATAAATAAATCTTTAAAAAAAAAAAAAAAAAAAAAAAAAAAAAAAAAAAACAAGAAGAAAAGAAAACAGGGAAGCCTGAAGGTCTCCAGGCACACAGACCAATGGGGGCGGTAGGATTCTGCGCAGGGTGGGTAGCCCACGGCCTGTGCTTTTGTCATAGGGCCACCAGCCTTGAGACTTCACAGAGGTAGGGCTGTGCCACCTGACCCCAAAATGATGGCCAGAACAGATGTGATGCATACCTGTCAGTCACCCCAGCCTTCCAGAGGGGAGGGAGTGTTCAAGCTACAGAGTTCAGAATCAATGAGCCCCCATGGTCCAGATACCCACCATCCTCAGTGTCCCTGGAGCGGGGGAGTGGCTGCAGTGTTGGCACAAACAGCTGTCTGTGTGGTGCCCATGATATCCCGGTCTCCATCTGTCCGACATGTGGGTGGACTGGGGTCTCCAGATCTTTCCAGATTTGTGGTTACACACAGCCTAAGCAGCGTGGGGGAAGTTTCTGATTTGTCTGGGTGCTTCTGCCCCCATGTGGCCGTGAGTGGAACTGCAGCATCAGGTGGCCCCTTGCTCCTTTCTCACAGTCCTGTCTGGGCAGGGCAAGGATCTGGGGGTATATATCCTGGGGTACAGCACTCCTCACATGCTAGCCACTGCCTGACGTACCACCACCAGTAATAACATTTTAGGCTAGGCGTCTCCTTTCAGTAACCCTTTGCGGGGACCCCTGCAAGCGTCACAGCCCGTCCGCAAACAATCCCAGGGAGGTTAAGAGTGAAACTGACTGAGGTCCGCGCAACTGAGGCAGTTCTGGGCCAAAACTTCTGGAGTCTGACGCCAAGGGATCTGTTTTTCACATATTTAAACACTGTAAAACTTTGAGGGAAAGTTTCCATGTGACAGCTACCACAACGAAGCTTTAGGCACGGCTATATTGAAACAAACTCCTTTGCAAAGTAAATCTCTAGCAAAGTTCCTGTGACCTTTTCTACTGACTGAGAAACAGTGTTCAGGATGAGGGCCTGGGGAGGAGGGGTTTGTAATAAGCATGAGGATGGGTTCTACTGACTGAGAAGCAGTGTTCAGGATGAGGGCCTGGGGAGGAGGGGTTTGTAATAAGCATGAGGATGGGTTCTACTGACTGAGAAACAGTGTTCAGGATGAGGGCCTGGGGAGGAGGGCTTTGTAATAAGCATGAGGATGGGTTCTACTGACTGAGAAGCAGTGTTCGGGAGTCAGTCCGGGGAATTCGATTTGATGAGGGATGGCTTTACAGAATGGCAAAGGTTGTGTTCAGGTATGAACACAACCGCTCACAGCCTCCTGATGAAAAACTGGTGTCAGTTCTTCCCTGAAAGAAGAAAGCCTTGTTTCCATCATTGTTCAACAATTCTGGGTTTTCTAGTGCTTATCTGTGAGCTCTTGTCCTCTACACTCCTTGTACTAGGGATTCCCTAGCTTGCTAGAGTGGTAGTTCTCAACCTTCCTAATGGTGCAACCCTATAATACAGTTCCTCCTGTTGTGCTGACCCCCAACCATTAAATTATTTTTGTTGCTACTTCATAACTAATTTTACTACTGTTATGAATCATAATGTAGATATCTGATATGCAGGGTATCTGATAGGTGATCCCTTGTGAAAGGGTCATATGACCCCCAAAGGTCGCGACCCCACAGGTTGAGAACCGCTGTGCCAATGGGACAGACCCAGGGGAGGGGCAAGGAGATCGAAAGGCAGCAGCTTCCATTCAGGCTGCAACTGGCCTGGCGATGCGTGTGGGCTGACTCTCGGGTGCCAGAGCCTCAGCTCTGGGGACCTGAGCCTTAGCCTGCCAAGACCCCACCCGCCCACTGCAGAGCCCTGTAGAGAAAGCCAGCTGAGAAACGAGGAGGCCTCAAGTGACCCAGTTCCCACAAGAAACTGCACCAGAGACCATCCTTAGAGCATGGTGCATTGGCACCTGCCTGTGATGCCAGCCCTGGGGAGGTATAGACGGGGGGGGGGGGGGGAGTCAGGAGTGTAGCCTGGGTGCCATGGCCCCACAAGTCGGAAGGAGAGAACCAAATCCACCCAGTGGTCCTCTGACCTCCACATGTACACCATGGCATGTGTGTGTGGCGCACATGTAAATAATTACATGTAATTTAAAGTTTGTTTTTAATCCAAACAAATGAAAAACTTCCCCAAACCCCATCTTCTCACTAAACTTCTTCACCAGATCCAAGCCATTCAGATCTCCATTGCTTTTCCAGATCTTCCACTGGACTCAGAAATTTTTTATTATTATTATTATTCACAGGGTCTCACTATGTAGCCCCGGATGGCCTGGAAAATCTCTGTGTAGACCAGGCTGGCCTCTGAGATCTACCTGCTTCAGTCTCCTGAGTGCTAGGATTACCACACTGAATTTACCACTCTGCCTCGCTGACCTGAAGCCTTTCAGTGAACCCCCAAACTCCCTCCCTTCCCTGTGGTACTTGAGGCAAAACCTCACCAGTCCTTCAGCTTCCCCCACTTAGTGAACTTCGTTCAAGAGGCCACAGCTGCCACCAGATCTTGAAGGAGGCAGACAACCCAGGCCTGTCACCTGCACCTGCCCCTTTCTCAGGCTCTCACTCCGCCTCCTCCCCGACAACCTTCTCTAGAGGCCACTGGGCATCCCCTGACCACATCCCAGCACGCCCACACGTCTTGAGTGGTTGGTTACTTTTCCATTCCAGCCTCTGGCCCTGAGCTCCTAGGTCTTGAGAGCCACACTGCGGGCCGTGGAAATCGGGGGAATGGTGGGAAACAGTGGAGGGTTGTGACACTCTCAGTACCTCCAGGTCTCCAGTTCATTCTGGACGTGGGATGAGCAGAGAAGAAACCTTACCTGCATCCCATCAAGCTCCCACCTAGGATGGATCTCATCTCCTACAGAGCTCCAGCCAGGGTTCTCTTCTCCAGGGAGCATACCACCCTGGCTGACAGGAAACTCCCTCCTGTACACAGGGCATACACATGGCGGGTGCTTAATGAATCTTGGGGGAGTAATGAATGAATCCATTATATATAAAATCATGCCAAATAAAGCACACATCGATAAACAGGCAAATCAGTACAGTGTCGAGCCCTACCCCACAGTCACAGGTAATCCATCAGCCCCCTATGACAGCTTTTGCTTTATTTTTTTCTTTTGCTTTATATTTTTTGCTTTATATTTTTGTCTTTATTATCATGACTAGAAAATAAGCCGGTGTCAGAGTGTGGGCCAGGGCTAATAGCATCCTCTGCCCAGCCACTCACTGCACCAGAGCCAGGGACCAGAGTGCCGAAGTGATTCCTGCCCACCCTGCCATGCTCTTGAGAAATGGTTGCTCATAGGCACACTAAAGACATCCAAGGGCAGTGCGAAAGCCCTTGAGAGGCCCAAAAGAATGCTTTCTATTTCTTTAAAATCCACGGGAATAAGAGCTGGAGAGATGTCTCAGTGGCTAAAAGCATTTGCTGCTTTGCAGAGGACCCAAGTTTGGCTCCCAGCACCTACAGAGCAGCTCACAGCCATCTGTAACTCCAGTTCCAGGAGATTTAATATCCTCTTCTGGCCTCCTCTGGCACCAGGCACACACGTTGATGTACAGATATACATGTAGACAAACATTCATACACATAAAATCATCTTTACATTTAAAATAATAATAATAATAATAATAATAATAATAATAATAATAATATAAAATCTGCAGAAAAACACACAAATTGAGTTCCAGTCATCTACAAAGGCAAACAGCCCTGGAGTTTAGATCAGTATTCTGATGGAAAATAGAGGCCCTGTGAATTCACTCCGTCTTGGAAACCCCATATTTCTAGCCAACCACATCTTCTGCCCAAATTAAACAGTAATTACCAAGGTCAGGAAAAGGCCTTGTCAGAACAGGTTTGTCCCCAGACTGAGCTCAGCTTTGACCCCTGTGACCTCACACCGCCCCCCTCGTCCCTATAAATGCCCAGCCTGCCTCCACACCAGCCAGTCCTGAGCACCTGACCATGTTGGGAATTACAGTCCTCGCTGCCATCGTGGCCTGCGGTAAGCTTGAGAGTGGGGACAAGCTGCATCCAGCGGGCTATAAGATCAAGCTGGCCTTGGGGTGTCCTCTGCTCCCCAAGAAAGGCACTTTGGGGTCCTGTGTGGGTTCTGTTGTGTCAGTTAAGCCACTTCCAAACTAGTAGGTCCTGGAGAAGGGGTGAAGAGCACCCTCTAAGGTGTGAGGCTCAGACAGGAGGCCCTGAGCAAGGCCCACGGTAGGTGTCTCACCCGGCGTTCATTCCGGGGAGCCACTGGGCCGTCCTTTCCCATCTGTGTCTCCCTCCCTTTGCTCTCCCGTTTTAGTGGCATTCTCCCAGATTTCAGACTGAAGGGTTCAATAG